TTGTTTAAGTTGTGCGAAAGGCGAGGTAATCGGTCCTACAGAACCCGACGGTGAATCTGACTTGTTGCGCCAGGTATTGCTCGCTGAGGCAGCGCCCCTTCCTTGCCCCCGCCCAGACCTTGTTGCTGATGAAGCCTCTCGTCCCCGGCCTCGAACTTTGGTTTCGCGTGACGTATTAACGGCTTTGGTTTGATAAGGTCGGCCAGATGGTCCACCGCGTCCACGTCCTGCTGAACCGGCTGGCCCATCTTTCTGGCCGAGGCCAGCAAAGGGATTTACAGGGCCGGCCATGTTGCCGTGTACAGCGGAAACGTGGACGAAACCAAATGTCCTCCAACAGTATGATCTTCAGAGCTTCTGAGTGGGGTCGTGAACAGAGATTCCGAGCGAGATGCGGACAACGAGGTCGTTCGCGAAACGGGCGTAGGTTGATAAATCGTAAAGCTATATAGCGCTATTGTCCAAGGCCATTGACACGCGCGTAACGGAGAAGTCAGCTTTTGTAAAGACAGGACGACAGTTGAAACCACATGGCGATGATATCATTTAAGTCAAGGAAAATCGCGAAGGCACGAAAACCGTATGAAAAGAAAGCGAAGATGTTGAAAGAAGCGAGAGACGCGAGAGCAAGCAGCGAGTGAGGCGGTACCTTTAGAGGTTCGTTGACAGAAACTTGGAGGGCAGCAGTCGATGGATGAGAGAAGATGGAGTACGAGCTCCTGGACTCCCCGACCTCCAAAGGCGTGGAGTATTCCGATACAAAGCGAAGCGCTATCTTAGAGGAACCGAGCGACGGCTGAGCGCACGATTGCGAATGCAACAAGCTCAGATGCCGGATAATGCAGGACGGGACAAACCAGCGACGGACTACTGGCTGTTAGTAGTGATGGGAGGAGTGTCATGTCTTCAGTCCACCGCGCGAAGCTCCGATTCATCGGCGGGACAGCGTCAATGCACGCTAAGCCCGTTCAAGCGCAAGCGCCACTGCCGCGCGCCTGATCGGAGCTCCCCTAATTGGTACATTTGTTGTCTGGTACTGTTATTGCAAACACTTTAAGATGTCCAATGTCGGAATTTATCCGACTTCTACTAGATCGTCTTCATTGTCTTTACGGCGATTTTTCACCAAATTGCTCTAGGAACCATGTTGTTCGAAGGAATATATTGATTTTTGAGTCCACAGATAGAAAATCGTCACAAACGCTAAAACGCTGCTGTCACATGCCTCTCACAAAAATTTCCATAAACCAAAAGACTCGCTGCTCCCATGTAGCACCCACCAACCTGGAACATTTTCTTTTCTCCATAAGCGCCCAAGCGCCCTTGCTTCCCAAAGTCTATTCATCCGCAAACATACAATGAACCCAAAACATAGACGTGCCTTGAACCCGTGAGGTCACCCGCCGTCGGATCTCGTCCACTATCCTCTTGGACGCCTGGAGATCCGCGAGGCATACACTGTCGGATAGTGCTGACCACCGTGAAGTATGTATATAAGTATATATAAAACATTTCATAAAGCAGAGGACAAAAGAGAGAAATCAAAGGCAAAGAAAAAAAATTGTTGAGAAGAGGTGTCCACTCAGGCAATGAAAGAGCAGCCACCTCATATCGCACCTGGGAAAAAGCACGAGAAAAAGGGAAATGCTTGAAGATTCGAAGGATAAAATCTCGTCATGGTCGTACGTATCGTGAAGTTGGGTTATCCCGCAGACTGTCTGGCTTCCAGACACAATGCGCGACTGCTGATTTTGCCGTTGATCAGCATTGGTGAGAATGAGTGAAGTGTGGATGACTCAGAGAACCCGTACGGAATAGGGGTCCCCTCGAGCTCATCGGCTCCATATACCCATGCTGATCGCGAGTAAAATCGGGCATGCCATGTATCTCCTCAGGGTGGGTGGCAAATCCCAACGGATAGTGCATACGAGGCTCTGGGAGGCCATGGCCGGCGGCAGCTCCATATTCCAAAGGGCTATACAACTCCTCCCTGAAGGATGGAGCCCAGTGGTCATATTGGCTGACGGAGTGCTGCATTGGCACTGCTGCTGCTGCGTGGTGCTCAGCAGTACTGGCGTCCGGGAAAGGAGCCTGTGTCAGGTATTCGAACGAGGCAGCCTCTTCGATAGGTGTTATTAATCCTTGATTGGCGGGATCCTCAATAATCGCGTTGGAATAGTTACCGGAGTAGTCGCCCGATGACGTGAAGAATGTTTGATCCTGTCTCGCTGGCTCTCCAAAATTGTAAGACCCCGGCAAAGGGAAAATCGGCTCTTTTCCCTCTCTTAGAGGCATAGTTTGAGGCACTGGCAAGTCGCTGGGTTCCTTGATGAATGTCGCTTCGATTTCCTCAACTGAAGGAGTCGGGGTCGTGACCTCTTCCTCCGCCTCTGCTGGCTCCTCTGGCTCAGTCTTTGCCTCGGGTCCAGCGACGGAGTCGGCGTCCTTGTCACCCTTAGGGTGTGCTTCACGATCCATCACGTATACGAGGGTTGAAGCATCTAGCACCAGTTTAGCCTCGATCTTCTTTGAATGATGAGTATGAGAATTGTGAGGAATACTTACCAATTTCACCCCGTTCGTATCTTTCCTCCATTTTGCGTACCTTGAAAATTTCCTCAATAATCGTGAATTTCTCCTGTTCCTTGAGCTGTCTTCTACAGTCGAATGCGATTTCTAGCAGCTTATCGGCTGTGACTCCAATGCGACCAAGCTTGCGCACGATATGGACCAACAGGTCAACTCTCTCTGTTGTACCTTGTAAGTACTGGTGATCCGTAAGAGAAAATAGGCTTTCCACTTACCCTCCTTCTTCAGATGATCTGGCTCCCTATGCACTACACCAGCCGGCCACCACTCAGGCTTCGTCTTCTCTGGGTCACCTTTGGTGCCAGGGGGCGCTCCGGGCTTAGGCCTGCCTCCGTTATAGGGATGCCTTACTTGCTTGCGCGGCTCGATGAACTTGATGAATGCCTTTGCAACAACGCGGCAGTTGACTTGCTGGAAGTGTCTCAAAGAAATCGTGTAGTACTGTTCCAATCGATCGGTATCACCGACTTCAAGCGCGATCCGGTTTACTGCAGCGCCAGACGGCGAATTTGGGAATTCGGAGCGAGGGCTCTGCGTAACTGGAACGGGACTTTCAACGTGGAGTCTACGTCTCTTACCATGGCGGTGGCAAGAGGCATCGTCGGAGCGGTCATAGCTCAGTGCAGCGGGGTTGATGCCTAAGTTTACTCAAAATTAGTTATGCTATAAGCCAGCCCTATGGAATGGATGTACTTACTTTGAAGTAGAGGCTTCTGATATCCGACTCTTGCTCCAAGGATTTCCAGGAAGTTTTCTCGCACTTCGGACGTGAAGATAGTGGCGTGATTGTCACGGATCGATGGCGACTCCGACACGCGGAGCCTACCCATGTGGTCCAAGTATATCAAAGCATAGTGTGCGTAGGGCAAATTGATCGATGTACGCGGAGGGGGTAGCATAGTCTTTGATCATCTAGAATTAGTAAACGAACCCTACATTGTATTTTGTTACTCACAGGAGCAGTCTCCCATCCAATACCGTCGCCTTTCATGGCGGACGAGGGTCTTTTCCCAAGCCCTGTCCTCGGAAGAGGAGAGTTGAATACCATAGTGGCCCTAGGGCAGAAACTTGCACAAATGTCGGGGGGGTATGTATCGAGGTTGATGCGTTTGGAGACGAACCGGCTCTCAAGCACGAGTTCAAAAAGGGTAGGAAGAGTCAAGCTTATGACTCTGCAGGATTAAAGAATAAGTCTCCGAAAGGTGGCGGGGAATGTGCTCGATTTGTAGGCGTTTCCCGAGTCTGGTGATTTAGTGTATGGATCAAGGAGCTGCTGCAATGCCCCAGATATAGCAATTATGGTGCACTGTCGACGTCTGCCAGCCAGTTAGTGTTTGTATTTCTTTGAGGACCAGCCGTTGAGGTAGTATATTGGAAGGGAACAAGCATGCAGTTCCCAACCGGTGTTGGAGGCATTTGTGTGCTAGATAGGAAGTACTATCACGCAAACATCCTCCATGCTAGGGACATGTTGGGAAAATGTTGCATAGCAAGCAGCTACTACTCACCTAGCCGCAAAATCAAACACCACCGGATGGCTGACAAACAGTAGCTGGACGTTCTATTGGTATAGTAGCTTGCAGGGAAGCTGCTTACAACCGGTACTGGTGCACTAGATAGTCGATCGAGACCCGGTACTCCCGTGAGGAACGATGATCACCCAAAGTACTTTTGCCGTTGCGCCGAGATAGTGTGAAGAAGGACGGTGACACAAAGATGTGGATGTGGATGTATGTTAGGTAGTACAAGGTGCCGAAGAGGATATAGTCAAGGCCGACTACTGATAGTAACGGAAACGGTTGAGATGTGAAGCAAGCAAGGCCAGAACTATGCAGATCCGATCACGAATGAGAGAGAGGAGAGTGATGGAGGAAAAGTGAAGTCAGGAACAGGCAAAGGATCTGGATCTTGAGGCCCTTAAGTATAAAGAGGAGAGGAAGAACGGAAAGGGACTGGACTTTTTGACGACTGGGGACGTCTCAGGATTTCCAGCCTGTCTGCTGTCTGCTAGATAGTAGTAACTGATGGATCGAGATTGCATCTGAACAAAAGAACCCAAATCCACTTTCATGTGCATCGGGGGGGCCCCTCCCCTCCCTTCGGGCCATCATCCTCTCGATCCCGATTTGGCATCGCACTGGGGACGTATGGTGGGATCCCAGCAGCATGGATAATCCTTGAATGTATCAAGCCGAAACACTAACGGACAGCTGCTACTCTAGAAAAGCATGGATAGAATCTATTTTACCCATATGCCGCTGTGTCTTTTTGGTAAGGCCGTGCAGTAGTAGGGGGAAAATACTGCCCTTTTTTTTTTTTTTTCCTGTTGTGGTTGATTTTATTTTATTTTATTTTATTATTATTTATTTTTTTCTTTCGGTTATAATAGAATATTTTATTATTATCGTCACTCATTTTAATTTCTTCCTGGATTTTATTTTTATTTATTATTTTCACCCCTCCGCATATTGTATTTTCCCGTTTGAGAAATGTTTTATTTCTTGATTTCGTTTTTCCATCGGCTGGGACATACCTCTTTACCCTCATTTTCCATCATTATCGTCCCGGCACAAAATAAAATTGATTAAATAAGAAAGAAGGCATTTCCCAGCCGTCCCACCACACGGAAATGTCCATCATCATAATGACAAAGCATTTCGATTCTTCTGAAGATAAACATCATTTGAAGCACGTACTTTAACTAACTACCCCGACCACTTACCTGACTAATACTATCTGTAGATCGACCACTCCGTCGGGGCTGTGGCAGCTGGCCCAGGGCTTTGTTCGGAGCGGGCCACTCACAAGGACACCCGGTGGCGCATCGATAATTTGATTGAACTCCACAACCGAGAGAACTACAAACTGAGGAAGATTGAGGTTCGTGCGAACTGACTCCAAGGTTACTAAAAGATATCTTCAGTTGCGCAAGTAATACCACTTACCACTACTACACAATCCCCACCAGTCGTCCTCTTGAGCGGGTTGATGATCATCGAGGTTCGCTAGTGCTGGGGCAGCTGGCGGGAGGAGGAGGGGGACCGAGAATTACCCACTACTATGGAGTACTACTTACTAGATGGTACTATTAGGTTACGGAAGGCGTATTCATACCTTGGGCTTGGGCTGAAAGTACGAAGTACACTGTCCGAATAAGGGGAAGAAGAATGGGGAGGGACTAGGGGAAAGCCTGCCAACCGTCACTCCGATCTTTCATGATTATCTGTGTAAAACGACTTGTGCTAGCAGGAATAATGATAACTTAGCCCGTTCACTAGCGTTGAAGTTGGCTCAGGAGAACTCCAACCGCCACCCAAAGGACCTGAATGACTTAGTATCAATCGGATACTCTGACAGTGTACACTGTAACAGTAAATAGCTGCCGTAAGTAAAGTACTTACTTTCAGGGATGGCGTTCCCGGCAGGCCGATTCAGCGCGGGACTTTTGGGACTCGCAACTGGCTGTCATGATTGGCAGATCTCACACCCACCAAACTGGAACCGGTTTTCTTTCGCCAGCGACACGCGCTTCCCGTCATTTCAGTCCATGTACAGAGTACGAAAATTGGACGTTTCTGTAAACAACCCAGTATTTACCATTTAAACCTCGGGAAACGTCTGCTCTTGCTTCTTACCCATCCCTGATTGCAGAGTTGTATGAAGAATATCCAACTGCTGTGGTAACAGTGGCAAGGACTCATTGGTACAATGAAGTGTCCATCGCCAACACAGTGATTTTGAAACCACAGTTGGCGCAAAGTGTATGGAATCCATACCCCTGTACATAGGTAGTAACATGCGATACAGGCCATATTCGGCTCTATTGTAAATCACGGAAAACTCCCCTAATTAACCATTCTCCTCGAACGGCCTGCATATTCTGTATGACAAGAACGTATTTGAGATAGGACTCAGCGGATACTGGGGGTGGAAAAAAAAAAAACACAGAAGAAATCCCGATTACGCACAGGCCGCGCATATCGTCAGGGCCGTTCCACCCAGCTCGCGCTTGGGCCAGACAGCAGGAGATCATCTGGAGCACGGGAGTATACGGCGTAACCTAGATACGGAGTCATTACTTATCCATTGAATCTCTAGGCGAACACCATGTATGACCTGAATTCTCGGTAAGACTGCTGAAGTCGAAGCGAGTGTCCGACAAGATTGTACGAATCCACAAGTTAGTAACTATTCCTGTCAGCCATGGACATCACATTCGCGCGGCACCGTCGACCTCCTCTTCTTAGGGTCATCAGCAGGACTTCCAGGAGAATTTCGCTACCGATGTACTCCGCACATGTGTAACAACCTTCACAAGTGCGCTCATTTATGCGCATCTGAAACATTTGATCATGACTGCAACTGGGAGTACTTCTTTGAATTGTTGATCGATATCGGACTCGCCGAGTTGCCGCCACCACCAGCTGGCTGCCCTTTGTGCAGAAAGATATGCAGCGGATGCATATAGGTCCTGATACTAAGCTGGTTGATCCAAAGATACAAAGTCCGGACGACGACATCACATGAGTTGTATTTCTATACCAGGGTCATCATTGTCACAGACTGAAGCTCTCGCTTGTCCTTGTTTGGTTCAATATTGAATAGTAGCCACGCCCATTATGGATTATTCTGGTCCACCATGTGTACATGGAGAAGTATGGTAATGTGAAAAACACAGCCTGGCAGACCCAATATGACACGATACACAGAGCAATGAGGCAAATAGAATACACCATTTACATGTACTGTCATATTACGATAGACGAAAATTGCGAAGAATCAAATAGCGGATCTAGAGAGATGTGCCCCGAACTAGTGCCGGTGGCAGGTGGACCAATAGCAGGCTACGGATACTATCCGTACCAGGACGATCTACCGTCTGGAGGAGCTTTGGCTTGCGCATGGCCCAAGGGACTGGAGACGGATGAATGAACTAATTTGAGACAGTACGAAGTAGTAGTGTTTTGAGGGGGTGAAAGGGTGGATTGCTGTTAGTAGAGGAGCTTTCCCGAGCCGTCAGGCTGTAAGGCAAAAGGTTCAGGGAACCTAAGTACTTAGTTCCTGCTGATGTGGGCTGTCGGGGGTTACTACTACAGCAGAAGTAGAGGAAAGCAATACAACTATAACGCCTAGTGTGCAAGTGCTTGTAGTAAATAATCTCCGATTGTTGGGGTAGATGGGGACCACAATGACGAAAGTATTTGGAATTCGAGGGTAGCTTAATGCTTTAGCACCACACAAGCACCACAGTACCCAGAGGATAGCCATTGGATGCTTAGTATGGTATACCATGATTCCACATTAATCTATAGAGACCCCTCTACCATACAATTAAATCTTTCCTTTCCTCCACTGGCTTCCGATCATTTCTGCCGCGAGCTATGTTAGTAACACGCCACCACTTTGCCGGACAAAGAAAGCAGCCATAGCAGAAACAACAAACCAGATGGGCTGTGCAAGTACCTCCCGAGGACTTTCTTCTTCCCTAGAGTAAGTACGGTGTACATTAAGCGAATGTTCGGGCTGCTGATCTAACTTTCTATCTGCGACGCTCCCGCGCCCAGGTACCTGAACCGTGGAATTGGCGACGACGATAAGAGGACCCGATATAGTGGCTTCACGTCAGATCAGAGACCCAAACCCCCTATTAGGGCCAATCCAAGACCACGTCCACCCGAGACTTTAATCTAACTAATGGCGGGTGGTACTTTGCTACGGGGTTAAGTTTGTCGTTCGTCTGTGCACTTTCCCTTCTGGGAAATCAGCAGTGTCTTGTCAATGTCTAGTCGTGCGGAGTACCTCTAGATCACGGTCAGTCAGTCAGTCAAGCAACATCAAACAAACGCCTCGTGTAGCGTCCAGCCAGTCTACGAAAGTACCTTTCTTTTGATTACGATGATAGTCTTCTCTTCAGCACCTAAGCTGACACTAATACAGAACCTTGACGGCCACTTACGTACAGAATTCGCTGTGCGCACAAAAGAACCATGCCAGGGACAAACAACTGCAGAAAAAATTTTCTTTTTCCCTCATTGTTTGTTCCTTGACCAATGGGGAAACAACTGAGGATAGTAAAGAGAGCCGATATCCGAATTGAATACTCCGTCTCGACGATCGTCGTGGACGGGCCCGAATATTCAGTCAACATGATAAGATAGTGTGACAGGAGACAAGTTCACAATCTGGCGAAACATGATGGCGGTGTCATCAGTCCCCACAGAGAGTTCCTCAACGACAATAATTGAGGCCGAAGTACTACCCGTTGTGTTTTGGGCGAAATTCCCTTATTCCCCGAGCAATTGCCCGAAGTACTGGCTTCTAGGAGTCTGTTTGACTGCCTAACTACTAACACATTCTCTGACCAGAACCAACGAGCTGAGCACTAGCTAAAACATCACGCAAATAGTCACGCCAATCTTAGGGCGGAGGAGCTTGTCATCCCTGTCTGCCTGGTTCTCGGAAAGTGACCGCCAAGCGGGCAGGTGACCCCTTTCATTCCTCCTGGCCGGCTAACCCGAGTCTAGACCTTTTCATAATACCGACACCAATCTCAATTACCGTCTCGCAAATATCCTGGCTGTTTTGATGAGGTGCGCTGTGATGCAATGCCATCATATCAAGTCGCATTAGATGCTATCGCCGTTCGCAACGTGGCAGCGACAATTGCACACGAGCCACGGCGCCTTGCATTGAACGGTGTGCTACACGGGCCATGATTACAGGCAGAACCGGTGGGAGAGACTCACCGCCACGATATCGCCTCGGTCGTGGGCGGCATAGATGCATATGGGCACACCAATGCTTTCTCAGTTGCAGGGCCTGGATCCGATGATTTGCCTTGACGGCTATATGGTAGCAACCGGTCTTCTTCCCGCCTGGGTCAAACACCCCTCCCAGCTGGATATGCCTTGGGCTCTCGCCATCGTTCCCAGTATGGTAGTATCGGTGTCATAATTCCCGCACTGTCAGGAATATAAGCCGCAATTACCGCTACGCAGGCCGGTCTCCTGCACTAATCACTCGCGCTCTGCACCGAACAGAGAATGGAAGTGCCTAAGGTAGGTACTGAATAGTTACCATCCAGACGGGGTCGATCCTCCAGTCCCGATCTTTGGGACTCATAGGGTGTTTTGCACGCCTAGCGATGGAGGGTAGCATTGTGACGACAACAGTGGGGGGAAAGAGGAGAGGTCACCAGGGAGGGGAGGAGGAGGTGGGTGGGGGAAAAGGTCATGCTGGGGCAGGGGAGATTAAACATGAGATTAGTCCCGCTGATTGGCCAGTAGAGGACCTGTCAGACCTCGGAAATCCCTTACTCTGTTATGCTGGTTGTCCACTCAGCATTTCAGCTATTGGGGCTTCGGAAGTGGCTGGAGCACACCATGCCCCAACAGGGAATAGACGAGGGGGCTAAGTATATTAACCCAGGAACCTCCTAGGTAAAGAGAGGCTAGACTGCCTGTATCTGGCTGAATAATGAAGTTACACCATTATTGAGTATTTCGCGGGACAACTTCCTCGGAGAATTTCAAGACTGGTGCCCGGTAAGGCAATCTCTGCGATGATAACTGGAGACACAGCCGGTCAGCCTGACGGTCCGCGAGGCGGTTGTTAGGAGCGGGGAGGGTCGGTTCCTGGAGCTAACTAGTAGTAGTCCGTCCACTTACTTTGTACAGAGTAGGATCCTTAGTACTTAGTAAGTCGGACGCCGACCTCCAAGCATTCAAAAAATTCACCCGCGATAAGCAGACCATCCCGCAACTACTTTGGTACATTGGGCTGATGCCCGCTCACGCGGTATACCCGTATTTGGCATGATCAGTGAGACCTACGGCGCCTAATCCCGACAGGATAATTTGGGGCTTTTGGGGGGAGGGGGGAGGGACTGTGCGGTGAGTCCAGCAATACCTGAAGAAGATACTCGTCGTGAACATATGGACATGCCACTTACATATGATACCTAATGGACAGACCAGTTTACACATGTATATACAGTAGTAAGTAGGTAAGTATACTAGAAGTGGCTCCTATCAAGTAGTCTCATGACACCGCTTTGCTGCAATGCAAGAATGAATAAGGAAACCTTGCAGCCGATGCTTGTCCCGCGGCGTGGATTCCAAGGCTGATGATGGAACAGAAACAACTGAATTGCTACGTCATGGTCCCTCCTTACAAAGCAAGTAAGTGGGCGACGGCCTTCAAGAACGTCCAGCGAATAATAATATCTAGCGAGGGGCAGCGCCATGATAGACAAACACAATAGTACATTCGTACAAAGGAAAATCCGTCAAAAGGTGCCCAGCCCACTTGGTGTCTTGAACTGGAACCCATCATTGAGGATTCGGGACCGAACTAATACCGCTAAAGGGTTAGGGCCGTATAGAAGGGGCCCCCACCCGAAATCCAACCCCGTACTTTGTTACCCTCTGGTTCCTTTCGGAAACGAGATGATTGTCTGTTTGTCTGTCTGTCAGCCTGTGCTCAACACACCCAATACTTATTTACTAGCTCGCTACTCTCTCGGTTAGTGGCTTCCCTG